CATAAGAATTGTCGGAACTTCTTTTATTGATAAAAGTGCTAGTAATAGAATCTTGAACATCTGACAGAGTTTTCCCTCCTGCCCTATTACATAAGTGTGTTAGGGTGAAGTCAATTTAAATTTCTTTCTAAAGTTTCCTTTTGGTCATGGACTTAAATCATATATTCATAACAGCAATGGGGTCATCTCTGTGATTCCTTATGCCTCCCCAAGAACACATTACCTTCATTCATTACAGTACTCTTAGTTCTATAGATACATAGTATATCTGGATGTTTTTGGGGGGGACTTGTTTCTCTCATTTCATTCATGAGCAATTCATGAATGCTCTTTGATATTTATTCAACTTATATTTCAAGTTGCAATCCTCCATATGCCATATTTGTTACTAGAGGAGCCATAAAAATGAATATAATATTAATATAATGTACCATATGATATGGAACAGTACATTAGATAAGAATACTTAGTAATATCCATACAATTTATTGCATTTCCTGTTTATAGCAGCTATTAATTTTTATTCATTTACCCAGCATCTCATCAGCTCAACTAAAGCGCAACATGCTCATGTATTCAGTACTATTTATACTACCATGTATAACCTAGACACTACCTTGCAAACTCACATACTGTACAATTAATCATATTAATTTATTATCTGGCAGAACAGTATATAGATCTGCTGATACCACAAAGATCTAAACAAATGGAGAGGTCTCTAACAGTTTATCTCAAAAGGAGGCAACTGACATGAAAATGGATTTCACAGATGGCAAGTGATACTGGGAACAAATATCATTCAGGGAATATAAATATCAAAATAATAATAGAAATGTTTCTTAAGCAGAAGCCAGCACAAATAAGAAACTGGTAAGACAGAAAAAAACATATTACTTAAAATTACCTGGTAGCTAAACTATTAGCATAACACAACATGAATTTGAGTGCACTTTTTTTTTTAACTGAATGTCAATCTTACTGGATTGGTGATTACTGAGAATAATTGGTCAGAAATAAGACAACTACTTCAGACAATATATATATAATATTATCAACAAGGAACTGTATTATTAGCAAAAATAATTACATAAGCAAATGAGCCATGGTGATGCAGTGGTTAGAGTGCAATACTGCAGCCTACTTCTGCTGACGGCTGGCTGCCTGCAATTCACCAGGCTCAAGGTTGACTCAGCCTTCCACCCTTCTGAGGTGAATAAAATGAGGACCCAAATTGTTGGGAACAGTATGCTGACTCTGTAAACCACTTAGAGAGGGCTGTAAGCGCTGTAAACCGGTATATAAGTCTAAGTGCTATTGCTATTGATATATTATTCCTAACTAGCCAACTCATCACTGATGAGATGGGCATGATGTAAATTTAATAAATAAATAAATATTCAAAGCAAATTTATGAATTAAAATTGAAGATTTTTTACAGGAACTCATTTACTTATTATAATAACATTTGTAATGTCTTGGCTTAAAATGTACCTATGAAATTAGACCACAGGAGAGTCAAAGTAAAGCAAAATATTTTCTAAACTGTCATTAATTAATGTATTGTTCCTTGGATGATGCTAAGGCCAATAATACGACTGACTGCTAAAAGGATTAGAACAATAAATAGGAAATGTTAGGGAAGATATCTGAATGATATCAAGAGATTAACATGTTCATTATATTCCTAAAAGACTGAAATTTCTGGATGGAATGACAATAACCTTATAAAGATATAGTAACAATCAGGGGTGGGATTCAAATTTTTAAATAACCAGTTCTGTGGGCGTGGCTAAGTTGGTGGGCATGGCTTGGTGGTCATGTTACTGGCTGGGCGTGGCCAACTCAACATCACTCACATCGAGGCACGCATCTCCTCGCCTGGCCTCTCACGACTGTGGGGATGCTGCAACAGTCGTAAGTGTGAAAAATTGTCATAAGTCACTTTTTTCAGCAAAGGAAGGAAAAAAACCTCCAGAGACGTTCCTGAGACAGGAAGTCTAGTCCTGCCAAGAATGTAATAAGGGTTAACGGAGAGGCAGTTTATGTAAGCAACACCAGAATGTTTCCTTCCTGCCTTCCTTACAGGATTAGGCCTTTAATTTCTTTTAACAACCGGTTCTCCGAACTGCTTAGAATGTTAACAACCGGTTCTAGCAAATAGGTGCGAACTGGTAGAATCCCACCCCTGGTAACAACTTGCTTTCAGGAATTGTGGTGATTCCATAAATAAATAAATTATCCTGATTGAACATAATGGACATTGAAGCCTTTGCATTGAAGTCCTTTCCCACCCAAAACTAAAAAGTATATCGACTGGAGGATGTATACACCTGTTTATGTATATGTATAGTTATTTATATAGACTTTCTTTTTAGTTTAACACTAAAAAGTAAAAATAGGTAAGGAAAATATATTTAAAAGAATGCATCTGCAAATATCTACAATGGGAAATGATGCCCTATTAGGTTGTCAGTATTGGGATGCTTATAAGGGTGTTCAGCTAATCATACTAAGATCTCAGTATTCAAAACAGGAAGGTCTGCAGAAAGGCAGGAAATACAGCATCATTTCTTCTTTAATTACTGGTACCATCTAAATCATAACTGCTAATTCCACTATTAATCTATACTTTCATAGGTATTAAAGGAGAACTGCCAACAAGAATATCTTTTTTTAGCCACTGCATCCATGTAGTGAATTTCACTC